AAACAAAAATCTAATGCATATATACAATACGTACAATAGACAACTAAAATATTTACACAGTACAGAGTTAAAATAAAACTTTTACAAAGTGATAATGATACTGTATTCCTTAGTGAAGATTTCCAACAATATTTAGATTCACAAGGAACAAAACGAAGATTAACAGTACATCATACTCTACAACAGAACAGAATAGCAGAACAAACACATAAAACTATATTTAGAGGTGTAAGAGCATATCTAACATCTACTGAATTACTGTTTACATTATGGGCCAAAGCAACAATTCATATTACCTATATTCATAATAGAACACTGTGTGCTACTTTAAATTATAATACCCTACATTACAAACATTACAGAACACACAGAACAATTGATAATATATACAAATTTGGTCAATATATTATCATTCACAACAAAAATCCTACAAAAATACAATAGTAAGGTATCATCACTCGTTGGATAGGATTAGACAATGAAAGTAAAGGCCATAAAACTTGGCACAATAATAAAATTACTATTGAACAAAATATTCAATTTCTCAAAGGTAAACCTCCTCAAATTGAAGGGGAGAAAATAGACAATACAAACAACAATATGAACAAGTGTTTAATAATTAAAAATAATGAAACAGACAATAGAATAACAAGAACAGACAATAATGATACAGACAACACTGATCCTAACAAAAAAGGAAAAGTGGCAGAACCAACAGACTTAACAGACAACAAAGTTAAATTAACTGAAAAAGAAGTAGAACCTAAATTATGTTGATTGGAACAGAAACAGAAACCAACAGAACATACTATCAAGCTTGAACAACACATGGAGAATAAACACATAACAAAATGCATGTATGCACTTAGTGAAAAGGATAAAGATAATATTGCCATTCATTTAACGGAATTTAATGCTAAAATAAGTGAAATACAATTGGATCCAACTTCATTTTATGAAGCAATCCAACGTCCAGATCATGATTCATAGATTACAGCTATGAAAGACAAAATAAAACAATTAGAAAATCATAATACATAGGAAATCATGAATCCACACAATAATATTAACATCATCAGAACACAATTTGTCTATAAAATAAAGTGATACACTGATAATAGCATAGAAAAATATAAAGCACAATTAGTAGTTCAAGGAAACTATCAGATTGACAGCCTTGACTATCATACAGACAATTTATTTGCTCCTACTGCTAGACTATCTATGGTGCAATTAATATTAGTATGGGCAGCATCTAATAATTATGAAATACATTAGATAGATATAAAATCAGCATATCTGTATGGACAATTGATGGAAGACAAAGAAATATATGTTAAACCTCCTCCAGGTAACTTAATAGACAGATTACAGAATGGACAAATATTACGATTACGAAAAGTGCTATACAGATTAAAACAAGCTGGTAGAAGATGGTATAAAACACTATCTAATATACTACTTAAATACAGATTAACGAAATCTGAACATGATAATGCTGTATTCTTCACAAAGAAGAAAGAAATAACTGTAGCCATATTATTTGTACATGTTGACAATATTACTATTGTAGCAAAGAATAATAATACTATTGTAATGATAAAACAATCTATTGTATGTCATTTACAATATACAGACAGTAGCAAATTACACTAGCTACTTGGTATAGAGATTCAACACAACAGAGAGCATAGATTCATCAGGATGCATCAGACACATTATATTAATAGTATAATAGAACGTTACAAACTTACAAACGAACAAAGTGTACAAACACCCATGCAGCCTGGTACACAATTAAAAACAGTATCACAAACTGATAACAATAGAAAACAAATGTCTGATATACTATACATGAACATGGTTAGCACACTTAGATACATTGCAGACTGTATGTGGCCAGATATAGCATTTGTAACAAATCAGTTAGCAAAATACCTCAATGACCCTGGTATGGAGCATTATCTGGCACTTAAACATTGTTACATGTACTTAAAAACTACAAGTAATGTCTGGCTCCAACTCAGCAGCACAAATCAATCAATATTGAACAGCTATACAGATGCAGACAGTATGATGCAAGAAGGGCATTGTGCAATATCAGGATACACATTTTACTTGAGCAATTCATTAGTTTTGTGGTCAAGTAAAAGACAAACACTGGTGGCAAATTTGACGTATGAAGCTGAATTAATAGCTCTTGCAAGAGGAACACAGGAAGCAATTGCACTTACACATTTAGCTGAAGAGATTCTGCAGGTCTCTGATACACCAATTAATATCTATTGTGATAACAATACTGTTATACAAACAGTTACATCAGACGAACTCAAATATTCGGAACAAACAAAGCATTTAGATCATAAGAAAGATTTTATTAAATGCTACATTGAGTTAGAGTACATAAATGTGAAATACATACGGACGAACAATCAACAAGCAGATATATTAACTAAAGCACTACATGTACCACAAGTCAAACATCTTACCAGTTTACTCAGACTAGTAAGAGTTTGAAGGGGAGTATTATGAGATGATTAGTTCATCAACGGACAAACCATGAGACAATGACTTCATAATGTCTCAGTTAGAATACATACAATATAAGGACGAGAGACACTGAGCAGTCAATCATCACCTCACCCCTTGTCTATGCATGCCCCCCTTAAGTTCTCCCTCTCAACAGGATATGTTACAGACTTGGAAAGCAGACATTTGTAGAAGATTTGATTAGGATTCTTTTGGACTGCCTCTCAAATATGTGTTGCATTTTGAATGATAGCATGTACAGAAGACTGGTACAGCTTAGGAAAGCAGTCTCTGAAGTGCTCAGCAATTTTCTCTTGAGATAAGGATTTTCCAGGCCCCTCTGCAAAGTCTAAGATCTCTAGTTTATCTCTATAGGTGTATGTAACACACTGCTGAGTCTTTACAGCTACTGTACTGGATCACTTGCCCAATTTCTGGGGCTTTTGATGCTTCAACTTCAGTGCTTTACTATGTGCAGGATCCTTTGGTAGAGATGTATTATCGACTGTACTCGTTTGTGGATGAATACCAGTGGAAGCATAGATATCTGGAAGTAGAGCTGAGAGATTGACAGGGGAAGCTTCTCTAGAATAAGTGAAAACAATTTCACTAGCATCCTTGAGTGTTCTGTCTGGGTTCTGTATACATCCAAGCTCCTCAGACATGATGAACGATAAGTTTTAATAGTGGTTTTCATTACATTACACATTTATTTTACAAAATGGAGGTGGCCTGTACAAAAAGTGGCTCTCTCTGGGTCATGATCTGCACTGTCACATGACCCAAAATTTCCTTTAATTAAGCATATTCTCGATCTCACACCTTAATGCTTAATGCTTAATGCCCTTTATGCTTAATATACCTCTATTTTCCTGCCTACCAACTTGGTGGATCAAAATTTTCATGCTTATTGAGAGGAAATGCTAAACTACAAGTATGCTTATTGACAGG